CATTCCATATGTTGAGGGAGTATCAGAGAAACTGAGACGTTTATTTTCTAAACATAACGTCCCAGTGGCTTTTAAACCCCAAAATACATTAAAGACTGGTTCATCCCAAAGATCCAGTCCCCCGGCACAAACAGAGTAATGTTGTGTATGTTGTTCAGTGTCAGGAGGGTGATCAGTCTTACATCGGGGAAACTAAACAGCCACTGGCCAAAAGGATGGACCAGCACAGAAGATCAACATCATCAGGCCAGGACTCTGAGGTCTACACTCATCTCCAGGCCAGAGGTCACTCTTTCAGGGATGAAGATGTTCACATCCTGGACAGAGAGGAACGATGGTTTGAGAGAGGAGTAAAGGAGGCCATCTTTGTGAAAAGAAACCGTCCATCATTAAACAGGGGTGGAGCCTCCGGGTTCAACTGTCCCCCTCTTACAATGCTGTGATTGCTAGTATCACTCAGCCCTCTGTGAACAGTAAACAGCCATCAGGTGCTAATGATCCATTGTTAGGCTGATGGTCCTTCTTCATCATGTGATCAGTTGGTTTTGGTTGTCAGCAGCAAAACTGGTTGATCCACTCTGAGAAGGTGCTATTTAAGAGACTGAGCTGAATACAGCACCTCAGACTGAAGAAGTCCTCAGGATGAGAGACGAAACGTTTCTACCTTTTTTTTGTTTTGTTTTTTGTTTTCTTTGAATGTCCAGAGGACCAGATTGAACTTTTTTACATTTTCCTACCTGGATTATTGAGCATCCCATCAGGACAATTTGTAAATTTCTAAAGATATTTATTGTTGTGGTAAACAGTAAAGAAGCAAAGGTTACAGCACGCAGCTGCATTAATGATTTATTTTCATCTTTTCACTAAGTTTTACTCACAGCCAAAAAGCACCGGAGCGTGCAGGAAGTGAAAATCTGAAGTTGCAGCTGTGAATCCACAGAGAGCTAAAAAACACATTTATTAACACATTAATCAAACTTAAACAGCTAAAGAGTGGAAACATGGAAAGGACTAAATACTGCTTTATTAAAAGTTTGTGTTGATTTAACTTTTGTCTCTTGGTGTTTTATTGTTGAAGCATAATCAGATATTCCCTTTTTAATAAAGCCAATTATTTTATTTTTAAAATAAAATATCAGTTTAAGATCGTAGTTCTTTAAAGATTTCCCGTTTAGTGTTAATTTAAAAACAGATTTAATCCGTCACCGACTGGTGAGTTTTTATGGGTGATTGAAAACTTTTAACGAGGGGCGGAGGAGCAGGTCAGCAAGTCTGATTTTTTTATAATCCAGCTATTTTACAAACTGCTTTTTAAATCTTTAACCACTAAAATAGAGACCAGTGGCTGAACTCAAGCTCATACCGGAGAACAAACGTGTGTTTGAGTCAGGACGTGTGTTGTTGGTTTCTTTTGGTCGTTCTTTGTGTTTATCGTGAGGTTTCTGTCCAAGGTGGACACGTCGTGGAGTCTCCGTCCGTTTGTCCATAAACTGTCTCTTGTTCCGTCCATAACTTCTGACCCTCCAGATAATTTAACCAAACTTCATGACAGAGTGTCACTTAACCTTTCATCACCCCCTGCTTCCAGATCAAGGTCACAAGTCAAGGTCAAAGGTTATACAGGGCCTTTGCTTGTCCGTGCTGTACAACAGCTCGTCATCGTGTGCGAGGTTTTTTTTATTATCGTGCTGTTGACCTCCAGCCAAAGATTAAGAGCATGTTAGGAGTTGTTTTAGTCTCCAAACCCTGTGTGTCGTTTTTCACCACTTTTTATTGTCTGTCCAAACATGTCTCACTTGTGAATGAGTCTTCGAGGCTCAATGTGTTTTGTCTGTTTAAATAAAGTTGAATGAATAAAGTTGGAGTATAATGTGCCGTCTGCGGTGCTCGTGTGTTTCTGCGGGAGTTGGACGGTCGTGTTTGGCTGGAGATGGTTTTTGTCTCTCTCTGTTCAGCTTGTTTGCCAAGAACACTCGGTCATGTTTCATTTCCAGTTCAGAGTTGAAAATGTTTTACAGCAAACCTCTGGTGGTCGACTCGCAGCCACGATGCTCCGTTAGGGAACACGTTGACATCAACCTGTGACACAACGAACTACCGTAAACTACCGGCCTTACTAATAAGAAGCACCGTTACGAGAGGAGACGTGTCCGCCAGCTGCGTGCCGTCTTGATGCAGCTTCCTGTTGGCGGCGAGCCCGAGGGCCACCCGGCGCTCGTCCTGCCGGGGGCACGGCAGCATCAGAGCGACAGCCGCTAACAGCTGTTGGGTGGAGAGGTGAGACGGAGAAAAGACAAATGAGGTCCTTTTACTAATGAGGCCCCGTCTGTCAGCTGCAGCAGCGCTATCGGTAGCGCCTCGCTCTGCCTGCTCGCCGGGCCACGGCCGCTCCGAGACTTCTGCCTGATACGCAACGACTGACAGAAACACACGGCGGTGTCGTCTGCGTGATCGTCTGCGTGATCGTCTGCGTGATCGTCTGCGTGATCGTCTGCGTGATCGTCTGCGTGATCGTCTGCGTGATTGTCTGTCGGCAGAATCCACAAATAAGAATCGAACCGACGTCAAACTGAGAAGACGCTGCTTTTCTCCTGAACACGTGCAGAAATAAACGTGAGCGTTTCAACAACACTGAGGTTACAAACCCTCACAAATACAGGTGTTCATGTTTCTGCCTTTTATTTGTCTGTTAGCAAAATATTTAATGAACCACTGGCTGATTGGAAGTACGTCTATAGATGATGAACTTTTAGAGTCAACACAGATTAAGATGTCACTGAATGACCTCTGACCTCAGGAAACATAAACATCAAATGTACAGATGGTGAGCTACCACTTGGTGAGGTGGCATCCAACCATCATCCTTCATCCAACCATCATCCCACATCACCCATCAATTATCCATCATTATCTAACCATCATCTAACCATCATCCCTCATCCAACCATCATCCGCCCATCATCCCTCATCCAACCATCATCCAACCATCATCCCTCATCCAACCATCATCCAACCATCATCTAACCATTATCCATCTTCCCTCCATCTTCCATCAATCATCCATAATTATCCAACCATCATCCAACCATTATCCATCTTCCATCCATCATCCAACCATCATCCAT